TGCTTAGCAGGTATAAGGCCCTGTGTTCAATACCTAGTATCACATACACCTCAAAGATAATGAGAGACGGTAAATGACAACAAAGGACATTTACTGAATGCTTCTTTTCTTTTTGCACTTGTCCTGGGGCTTGAACTCAGAGCCAATCAAGCGCTATCCCTGAGCTTTTTGCACTCAAGGTTAGTGCTCTACTACTTGAGCCACAGCTCTACTTCCAGCTTTCTTTTTTTTTTTGCCAGGCCTGGGGCTTGAACTTGGGGCCTGGGCACTGTTGATTTTCTTTTTGCTCAAGGCTAGTATTCTATCACTTGAGCCACAGCACCACTTCTGGCTTTTTCTGTTTATGTGGTACTGAGGAATCGAACCCAGGGCTTCATGCATGCTAGGCAAGAACTCTACCACTAAGCTAGATTCCCAGCCCCAAGCTTGTTTTTTTTTTTTGATAGTTAATTGGAGATAAAATCTCACATACTTTCTTTTCCAGACTGGCTTCAAACCAAGATCCTCAGATCTCAGCCTCCCGAGTAGCTGGGATTACAGGTGTGAGCCACTGGCACCTGGTTCTGAATGCTTCTTTGTCACCAGTGACTGTTGGGCAGTTTCATGTATAATATCCCACCAGACTTTCTAACTAATCAATGAATTTGGCATTCTTCTTCTTCTATTTTCAAACCTCAAAGGGTTGAATAACTTGCCCCACATCAAGAGAAAAGCAAGCAGCTGTCAGAGCTCAGTATAAAGTTTGAACACAGCTACAAAGGAACCCCTAACATTGGCTTTGACTCCAGTGCAGAACTCAACCCAGGAAATTCTATTTAATATCTACCAACTTTACCCATTAGACCTCCCCACCCAAGGGGATGTGTAACCATGACTTCCTGGCCACCGGAGGTCATGATCCTAGAAGAAAGCAGCATGTTTCAAGTCACTTAAGCAAACCGTCAGGAAACTCACCAGCATACACATACAGTTACAAGTTCTATTCATCTCTTCCGTAAGAACAGAATGTAGAATCATCATCAAATTATAGTGTCTTCCCATGAGAGGCTCTGTGCCTATGTAATTACAGCCTCCAACCCTGCGCGTGGCAGCTTCACCCATCTTCTCCAGTCTTAGTGAAGGTTTCTCTGCTTTTCTAATCTCTCTTTCTCTTTCCCTGTCTCTCCCCCCCCTCTGTTTCTCATGTGCGTGCGCGCGTGTGTGTGTGCGTGCTGTTACTGGGGCTTGAACTCAGGGCCTTGAAATTCAAGCTTAGCTTTTTCACTCAAGGCTGTTGCTCTACCACTTGAGCTATATACACTCCACTTCCAATATTTTGCTGGTTAATTGAATGTAACAGTCTCATGGACTTTTCTGCCCAGGCTGGCTTTGAATCACGATCCTCACATTTCAGCTTCCCGAGTAGCTAAAGTTACAGGCTTGAGCCAGTTTAGCCAGGCACTCAGTTTAGCATGTACATCTTTGTGACCAAGAATCTTCTGACCTTCTGGGGATGCCATCTTGGCTGAAGAGACACAATAATAATAAAGTGAACTGAAAGAAAGAAAGAAAGAAAGAAAGAAAGAAAGAAAGAAAGAAAGAAAGAAAGAAAGAAAAGGAGAGAGAGACAGGAAGGAAGGAAGGAAGGAAGGAAGAAAGGAAGGAAGGAACATCTTTTGTTGCCAAGTACTGGAGGTTGAGGTTGAGGGGATTGTAGTTCAAGGCCAGCCCAGACAAGAAAATGTCCTCAAGCCATTTTGAGGCTGACGAGCTGGACGCCTGGTGTGCATCTGTCACCTGAGTAACTGGGAAGCACAGGTGGATGACGCCCAGGTGTGACCCTACCTCAAAAATAAGCAAAAATCTAGGCTGGAGGCATGGCTCAGCAGTAAAAGTGCCAGCTGGAGGTCTAGCGCTCAAAACCTCAATACTTCCAAAAGATAAACCAAAACAAAAGAAAAGTGCATGAAACCTTTTGAAGTTACAGTTAAGCAACAATAAATATGTAATAATCATGTTACATATAGGGTCATTTCTAGACTAAATTTCTGGAAGGGAGATGAAGGGTCACAGAGCCCGGCATTTGTCACTATTAAAGCATTTGTAATTTTGGTCAATAGGGCCCAATTGTCCCCAGCAGGTGATACCAATTGGCTTCTCCCACCAAGAATCTATGTTGTGTGTTTCTCCACAATTTAAACTGAAACCGCAGGGGTGAGCATTTAAGCATTCATTTCAGGTATAGTGGAACAAATGTGATTTGCACATTGATCTCACATTGAGTTCACGTTCTTCAACAGTTTCTTTTTAAAATACATTCCTTGAAGTACAAACAGCACGCAGCATTAAGGTGCTAAATAAATACGACCACATGTGGTGCATCGATGTGCAGAATTTTTTTTCCATTTTATTTTTAATTTTGTTTTTATTGTTTGTGCCAGAACTGGGGTCTTGAACTCAGGGCCTGGGCACTGCCTTTTAGCTTTGTTAGTTCAAAGCTAGTGCCTTACTACTTGAGCTCCATTTCCCGCTTGTCGATGGTTAACTGGAGATAAGAGTCTCACAGACTTTCCTGCCCATGCTGGCTTTAGACTGTGATCCTCAGACCTCAGCCTTCAGGGCTTGAGTTACAGGAGTGAGCCACTGCTCACTAAGACAGTAACCATCTTTGAATGAGCTCAAAGTCAGACAAGAAGAAGGACGACTTAGGGAGGCGGCCTGGAGCCCTAGGGTCAGGGTTTTCATGCATACTTTTCATCCACAGCCTCAGAGGATGGGAGAGGAATGTGATTTTGGTTCATGATAGAGCTATTTAACCTGGCACTACTGTATCAGTTCTGAAAATACTGAAATGCTTTAAACCCATTGGTAAATCATCAGTGAGAACCTCTAAGCATCCTTCTCCTCCCTTCCCCTCATCCATGCCTGCATCCCTCAGCACCACCTCACCCCCCAAAAATCACACACAGGCCTTCTGATTGGTCCAGTTAGTGTGTTCTGATTGGACAGAGCCAATTGCCTTCAGGTAACCAGGATTGCTTATGGCAGTTAAAAACCTTTTAGAGAGTCCTGTGCTGGAGACTCACACCTGTAATCCCAGGTACTCAGGAGGCTGAGATTTGAGGATCATGGTTCAAAGCCAGCCCAGACAGGAAAGTCTGTGAGACTCTTATCTCCAATCAACCAATCTCAAAGTGGTAGAGTGCTAGCCTTGAGTAAAAAGAGATCAGAGACAGTGCTCAGGCCCTGAGTTCAAGCCCCAAGACTGACCAAACAACCACCCCTGACGGGACAACAGGAAGATGGTCCAGGCCTCTGAGGGTCAGAGATCAGGAGCTTTCCTCCCTCAGCCTTAGGAGAAGTTAGGATTACAGGCATGAGCCACCGGTGCCCAGAAAGGGATTTTGTAGCGTGAGCATGAACAGAAAAGCATCTCTGGAAGAAGGATGAGGGAGGGCAAAGGATGCTGGGGGCGTGGCTCAAGTGGAAGAACATCTGCCTATCATAGAAGAAAGGATGCTGGGGGCGTGGCTCATATGGTAGCCTATCAAAGGAGAAAGGATGCTGGGGGGGCGTGGCTCATATGGTAGAACATCTGCCTATCATAGAAGAAAGGATGCTGGGGGCGTGGCTCATATGGTAGCCTATCAAAGGAGAAAGGATGCTGGGGGGGCGTTGGCTCATATGGTAGAAGCCCCTATCAAAGAAGACAAGACCTGCAGAGCTGGAGGGTGTGACTGGGAAGTGAAGCGCTGTGTGTGCTGAGAGCTGAGCATGCACACAGGAGTATTTGGGGAGGGGGGAGGGGGGCGTCACCCTGGAGAAGTACCGAAGCCGCCAGGTGGTGCTAAGATGTCCACACAGGTTAATCCACTTATTCCTCCCAGCAGTGTTACACTATAATCACTGTCTTAGCACTGCCATTATCTCCACTTTTCAGACAAGGAAACTGAAGCAGAAAAGGATTAAATTGCTTGCCCGGAGTCATTCAACTAAGAAGAATCCCTGCGCTTTATAACCCCGGCGTCTGTCCCTTAAACCTTGTCGCTTTCTAATGCCAGCATCTGTCCCTTAAACCCCGTGTCTCACGTCCAGGTTGTGAAGGGCATGGTTATTAGTTAAGGAATTGTTCACGCTTCCATCATAAATAAATAGCCCCAAATAGAGTGACTTGAACCAGACAGAAGTTTAGCTTTCTCTCAGGTGTCAGCCCAAAGGGGACAAGGCATTGCCTCTTGCACCCATGGCTTCAAATTTGGGTTCAAGGCTGTCCCTTTGACCTCTTTCCCTGTTCCAGGCAGTGGGAAGGGGGAATGGAGCTGAAGACTCTTACCCACATTTCTTTTAAGAGAATGACCCGGAAGCACTTACTTCCCATTGGCCTGAGCCCTCTATCCTGTGGCCACACTATGCTGCAAAGGAAGCTGGGAAATGTGGTCTCTTCCACTGAGCGGCCTACTCAAGTCTGCTGCTCCAAGTCAGGGTCCTGTTATCAAAGAGAAGGATGGCTCTTGGACCCTTTGCAGTTTCTTTCTCAGCCCTAGTTCATTGGACTTTGAACTTTATTGTTGAGATGATGATGAACTGCAAATGGCCTTCAACTAGGAGCCTGCATGAGGCCTAGACTTGTGGTTTAGATTACTCCAGAGTCATGCTTGGAGCATGAAGACGGGAGGAGGGGATGGAAGCAAGGGGCCTATTATTTTATTTGTCCACTTTGGGGGACCTTGCTCCAGGGAGGAGCCAATAGATGAATTTCTAGGTAGCCCGGATAGGAGATCTTCCGGCCAAGGGAGCTAGCGTGAGGGATGGAGTTATCTGCAAACACCTATTGTCTTGGGTCTGGTGTCCTCGCAGTCCATTGGTCCCTCACTGGGCATGTACACATGTTTCCAGGATTCGCCCCACAGGTAGAACAATGGCTGGCACCCAGTCCAGCTCTTGGTTAGTTTTCCAGTGTCATTCAAAGCATCTCTGTCCATGGCTTGCCACACTGACCTCTCCGTTTCTCTTGGCCTCAGGACCCCCGGAGCAAACATAAGTTTAAAATCCACACCTACTCCAGCCCGACGTTCTGTGACCACTGTGGGTCGCTGCTGTACGGACTCATCCATCAGGGGATGAAGTGTGACAGTAAGTACCAGCCGTCATGGCAGCTCCTTCCTGCCCAGCCCCTTCCTCGCAGCAGAGCAGGACACGTACCCCACAGCCCCTGGCATCCTCTCGACCTCTCACCCCTCCACCCTACAGAGTAAAGACTGGCACCAATCAGTGATTCCTGAAGGCAATCTTGGGTGTCTGGGCCAGGCCTAGCAGACATTGGCTGTGTTTCTCAATGCATTTGTTGGGGTGAGTGGGTTGGCTGGGAGCTGGGGGGGTGCTATTAGTTGTCCTCTGGGTAGCTAGGACTACCGGGCGCAGTTTTAACCCTCTTCAGGCACACAAGGAGGCCATGGAGGCCTAGAGGGCAAGCGCATTGGTAAGCACACCTGGAGTCATTCTTTTTCTGTCCTTCATGTTGGCATTGGGGCTTGAATCCAGAGTTGCATGCTCTTGCTTGGCTCAAGGCTGGTGCCCTCCCACATGAGCCACACATCTACCTCTGGCTTTTGTTGTTGTTGGCTAATTGGAGAGAAGTCTCTCATATTTGTTTATCTGCGCTGGATTTGAACCATAATCCTCAAATCTCAGCTTCCTGAGTAGCTAGGATTCCAGGCCTGAGCCACCACCTAGTCACTTGGCTACTTTGGGTCTTTTAGTGGTCGTGACAAGCAACAGGACAAGGTGCACAGTGAGTGTAGACACATCCACGGGTGTAGACAGACGGTAGCACGATTGCATGGGGTCCTTCCTGCAGCCCTGCCCCAGGGCTTTGACTTTTCTAGTGCAGGTCCTGGGGCTTGAACTCAGGGCCTGAGCACTATCTCTGAGCTTTTTTCCCCTCAAGGCTCATACTCTATTACTTGAGCTATGACTCTACTTCCAGGTTTTTGCTGATTCATTAGAGAGCAGAGTCTCATGGACTTTTCTCCCTGGGCTGGCTTCAAACCACGATCCTCACGACAACTAATTACTAACTACTCAGCCTCCTGAGTAGTTAGAGTATCAGGTGTGAGCCACCGGCCCCCAGCCATGTTTTTAAGGCTGACGCTGTTTGAAGAGGGAGGACCAGCCTCCCAGCAGTACCCCCAGTGTGTGTTGGGCAAAGGGAAGAGAGCACCATTCTCTGGCACAGCTGGCACAGGGGGAAAGCAGGTGCAGGCAGGACTGCTCTTAATGACACAAAGACCCTTGGGGCTCTGTGGCGGGTGGCTCCCGCCGGCTTGGTGGCCTGCTGCAGGTCAAGCAGTGTCCCCGTTACAAGAGGGGGAAGCTCAGAGGGACAGCAGGGGATGGAGGAATGGGAGGGTGGACGTGGCAGGAGAGATTGGCGATCATTGGGTGACACAGCGATGAATTTCCCCCAGAGGTGCAAGTGAAAAAGAGAGAAGAGAGAGACAGAAACTCACATGGAGAGATGCCTAGGTAGACAGAAAAAGAGAGCTGGTGAAAGCCCAGAGAGATGAAAAGCAAGACAGGTGGGCGGGGCACAAGGCTGGGGGGGGGCATCCAGCTATACAGACGAGGCCTTTAGCTAGAGAGATGCACAGCCCAGCCAGGCCAGTGCCTGCAGTGGACAGGACACTGGTTCCTCTTACCACACCTACACAGGGAAGATGGGTGAGGGCTCAGGCTGGCATGCAGATCCTGGGCCTTTTGCTCCCTCTCCCCCATCTCTTTTCCACTTTGGTGATCTGTCTGAGCTGCACGGACAGACATGGGTGGGGGAAAAGGGGCTCTCCAGCATCCCCTCCCTGTAGCTCTCTTGGGTCTCCTGAAGTGCACCCTGGGGTGCTGAAACCACTCCCTTGGCTTCTCAAGCTGAGGACCCTTTGGTGAGTGCTGCAGTCCTGGCCCATCTCCTGGCCACAGCCACGGACACAGGACCAGGCTGGGGACAGAAGCAAACGCATGAAATGAGGGAGGGCCAGACAGGGCTGGCAGAAGTGCTGCTTTCTTTCTTTCTTTCTTTCTTTCTTTCTTTCTTTCTTTCTTTCTTTCTTTCTTTCTTTCTTTCTTTCTTTCTTTCTTCCTTCCTTCCTTCCTTCTTTTCTTCCTTCCTTCCTTTCTTTCATCAGTCATGGGGCTTGAAGTCTGGGCTTGGACACTATTCCTGAACTCTTCAGCTCAAAGCGAGCACTCTACCACTTGAGCCACAGTGACACTTGCAGTTTTCTGGTGGTTAATTGGAGATAAGAGTCTCACAGAGACTTCTTTCCTGCCTGGGCTGGCTTTGAACTACGATCCTCAGATCTCAGCCTCCTGAGTAGCTAGGATTACGGTGTGAGCCACTGGTGCCTGGCAGACATATTGCTTTCTTCTTATCCTGGCCCTACTGGCTTTCCTGGAACTGGTTATGGACATTAAGTCTACCCAAGCTGGGTGCTGGTGGCTCACACTTGTAATCCTAGCTACTCAGGAGGCTGAGATCTGAGGATTGCGGTTCAAAGCTAGCCCGGGTAGGAAAGTCCCTGACACTCTTATCTCCAATGAACCACCAGAAGACTGGAAGAGGTGTAGTGGCTCAAAGTGAGAAGGGGGACTGGGTAGGTGGTAGAGTTTGCCTTGCATGCATGAGACCCTGGGTTTGATTCCTCAGCATCACATAAGCAGAAAAGGCCGGATGTGGTGCTGTGGCTCAAGTGGTAGAGCGCTAGCCTTGAGCTAAAGAGCTGGGGCACAGCGCCCAGGCCCAGAGTTCAAGCCCCAACACTGGGGTAAATAAAAAAAAGTCTGCACAGACCTCTGCAAGGTCCATGTCTGTCCCCTGCTGCTGTGGCAGTGGCTGTGGGTACAGGACACAGCCCAGGATACTTACCTCTCAGGGAGTGGTTCAGGGCCCAACTTGGGTGGACACAAAACCCTGATCCTCTGGGGTGACTGCGGCAGGCAGGGGGACGGCAGGTGTCTGTTGCCTGTCAAGCAAGGTCTCGGCGGGCCTGGGTGGGGTAGGGGCCATGGTGGGGCTAGCCTGAGCCGCATTCTCTGCCCGCACAGCCTGCATGATGAACGTGCACAAGCGCTGTGTGATGAACGTCCCCAGCTTGTGCGGCACGGACCACACCGAGCGCCGCGGCCGCATCTACATCCAGGCGCACATCGACAGAGAAGTCCTCATCGTGGTCGGTAGGTGGCCGGGAGCTCCGCCCAGCCTGGGCATCTGAGGGTGGAGGTGGGGGTTGAGAGGTCGCAGGGGTGGGGAGATGCTGGCTGTACCCCGCCTCTCCCCTTTGGGCTTCCTTCCTTGGACCTGGACAGCACTCCAGGCTGGCTTGTACTCACAGTTGGCCATCTGAGCCCCTGGACTTTTCCTTCTTGCACAGCTTTTAAATGAACACATGATAAATAGAAAAACATCCACGACGCAGTATGGATTGTTGTTAAGTGGACAATATGGAACGTTCAGATCAAGCAGGCACCGGTGGCTCATGCCTGTCATCCTAGCTACTCAGGAGGCTGAGATCTGAGGATCGTGGTTCAAAGCCAGCCTGGGTAGGGAAGTCTGTGACACTCTTATCTCCAATGAACCACCAGAAAACCGGAAGTGGTGCTGTGGCTCCAAGTGGTAGAGCACTAACCTCGAGTAAAAAAAGCTCAGGGGCAGTGTCCAGACCCTGAGTTTTCAAGCCCTAGGACTGGCACCCCCCAAAAAATTCAAATGAAGGCAATTAGCAAGCCTGTCCTCTCAAATGTTGGCTTTTTTGGGGGGGTCTGGTCATAGGGCCTGAACTCTGGGCCTGGGCACTGTCCCTCGGCTCTTCAGCTCAAGGCTAGCGCTCTACCACTTGAGCCACAGCGCCACTTCCGGCTTTTTTCTTTTTGCTTATGTGGTGCTGAGGAATCGAACCCA